TAAATTTTGAGAATTATTTATGGACCAAAACGACGCATATGTTTTCAGTGTATAATTATTAAGTAGCTAAACTATGCATACTCATGTTTCTCTAATAAAAGCTTTATTTTGACCATAGACTATTATTATAAGATTTACTGTTCTTGAGTTGTGCCTAGTTTATTAATTACAGTCTCCCAAATTCTCATCCATATTTGTCCAGATCATGTACAAATGTTTTTTCCTATTTTTTGGTTCAGTGTGGTCTGTTTGGTCTGTATATAAACCCAGTATTGAGATTAGATGGTGGTTAGAGGTAGTCAACAGGAAACCCTGGACCCGGGTTTCGTGCTACTTGGCACTCGTCAGCAAGGTGTACCTGTAATGTTGAGGGAACTGGTGCTCCCTGGCGGATTCGACCTCGTGTCACCCAGCTTCACAGTCAGAGACGTTACCACTGAGCTATCCGAGCCGTGACTAGCCTCCTGTAGGACTGAGATGTAATCACAATTGATTGATCACTGGGTGGTGGTGATCAATCTCATGCTTGAAATACATGATTCATATCTCAGAGGCTGACATTAGTGTTCTGGACTCAACAGGAAGAGCTAGGCAAAATGATGGTGTACTTTTAATTTCCCAATGAATAGAAATTAAAATTTCTAACGTTCGATGACTTAGTGTAAAGCAATCGAAATTAAGACAAGTCTAAACAGTGGAGAGTAAAAGACAAAATGTATGTTTAAACGTAAACAAAAGTCGGTCTGATTGTGTCGAAAACATGTGAATTATTTTTTGGTCAAAGTGATTCTGTATGAGACATCACTATGTGCACATGTATTTGTGTTAGTAAGCTTGGAAAATGTGACGTTTGTTGTGTGGAAGAATAAGCTTTGATAAGCATGTTTATTGGTGATGTAGAATGTGAACGGAATTAAATACATGGATATTTATATAAATGCTACATGCTAAATGAACGAAGTATACAAATATTCATAACATTTCTCATTCACATAACAAATATCATATTAAGAGATGGTGGAGAAGATTTGTAGCTCAGGTGGATGATTTTGATGGAGTTTCGTTCTCTGAGCTGGATGGTTTAGTCGCAGAGCTTTCATCGTTTTTTTGAACGACATCATCAGCACAAACACTTCACTTCTATCTGAAGTTTGTGCTGATGATGTCGTTCAGAAGAACGATGAAAGCTCCACGACTAAACCATCCAGCTCAGAGAACAAAACTTCATCAAAAAAAAATCATATTATCCGTATCTAATAACATGAACACAGATGAACACAGTGATATCTCATGCAGAATCACTTTGACCAAAAAATAATTCACATGTTATTGACATAATCAGACCTACTATCGTTCTCATTTAAACATACATTTTGTCTTTTACTGTTCACTATTTAGGCTTGTGTTAATTTCGATTGTTTTACACCAAGTTATTGAACGTTAGAAATTTTAATTTCTGTGCATTGAAAATTAACCAATACATTAATTTTTTTTATGTTTCATATTTTACACTCATGCTCAATGTATTCGAAATTATCAAGAGAAACCTAGATGATTGAACTTATAAATGATCAACCTATTTTACGTTTGGATTTGATGATTCTGTGAATATGAGTAAAATATTTCATCGACAAATCACTGTTATTCATACTGTCAATCACAACGTCTCATCATAGATGTAGGTTCAGACAGTACTTTGCTAAAGACATGTAGATATTTGATTGAACAATATTTAAAAAAATTATAAACTAAACTATATGGGTCAATATCAAACTCAATTTTTTAAACATCCTTACGAATAATGAATGAACAATTAGTGAACGATCAACATGAACTTTCTGTTTGATTTCGTTCATGCTACTTGATCTACCAGCATTTGAACAGTGGTGGTAACAAATGACAATTATACATAAACCTGGAGGAATTTATTCCAGACACTCATTTATTCACACATATGTTATAATAAGAATCGGAAAATGCAGGCGTCTCAACTCATAGTATTACTTGTTGCGAGCGTTGATACACATAATCCTCAGTAAGACAAACAGACATTGGATAAAGTAGTGAGTATACAGATATACATATAGCCACTCATGAAGGGAATAAGCATAGAATTATATTGAAGTAGATATATGAAGTATACGTGCTTTAGGTCAGCGTTTCCTAGGGTGGGAAGAGTATAATTATTAAGAATGTTAAGTTCATTTACATTCTACCTTCATTTTAGTCTCATCCATATTGTTTTCGTGTATTGTTTTAGACTACTAGATAATATTCAGTAAAGAGTTAATTATTAATAAATTCAGAACGTATGGTATAAAGCATATTGACTAGTTGTGTAATAACATTAAGTATTTACTAAAACTAATAACACTTGCTATATTTATCATTATAATTACTCAACCCCAACCCTTGAAACAGTAATTCCCACTTAAGTAGATTCCTTAAATTTTTATAAGCAAAGATGGATAGTGGTTAGCAGTGGAATCCAGGACATGCGTTTCATCCTATTGATTTACAATTTTATAAATTGCCATATTGTAAATTAGAAAAAAAAACAGAAGCAAACAATACTATTTTCAATTCGATAGTTTCGCTGATTTTTTCTGTCGCAAAACTATAAGAGTGACCTCTCAAAAAGATTATGGATAAGTTTTACTTTTGTTGCCATTACATTAATGATACTTTCATTACTGTAGATCAGAACAATTGAAAAGAAAAACTCTTAGATCTATTTAACAATAAACATTCAGCTATCAAATTAACGCGTAAAGAGATGCTTGATAATAGAGTACATTTCCTTGGCGTTTTGTTAAACAGAAAAGAAAATAATTTATACGAATATTTGTCAAGATTAGAACGAATAAGTTGACAGAAACTGGGCACCAAGTAAAGAGAAGTCTTTAGATGTGAAAATTATATTTGAAATAATCTCAGCAATTGAAATTTAAATAATTCCAACGTTTCGCCCAGCTAACTTGTCTGGACTTCTTCAGGGTAATAATCAAAATCAAAACCATCAGAGAAATACATAGCTTTTTAACAATCATAACTATACTGTGCTACACCAATCAAATTTGGATGTTGGTTTTTGTAAAAGAGGATAAAATAAGTCAGTTAACTACAAGTCATGTGAAACAATTCAGCGACATGGAAACAATTAACTGAATAACAAATTGTATGTATGTGAGTGTGTAGGTATGTATGCATGTGTGAGATTAATGTTCGGTGTTGATATGTTATATATGAAGGAATAAATAAATAAAAGTGCAAGTTCAAGGTTGATAAAAAAATTTTGATTGAAATCATGAGTCAATTGAAGCTAGACGACCAGTGCTTCCAGGTTTTCCATGGTGGTCTAGCTTCAAATGACTCATGATTTCAATCAAAAACTCAACATCCTCCACAACACCTAAACTGTTGATAAAATTGTTAATGAATCATCGATGTACATGTCAACTTTCAATCGATGAAATTATTTCAAACATAATTTTCACATAGAAAAGAAAATAGTTCTAGTAGTAGAAGTATGTATAGGTAAGTTCTTCAGCAAGTCAGTATACACATTTCTTGAACATTTTACACATTTACTAGGAGAGAAACCTGGTTAGATGTCTTACAAATAGAGCTTGGAAGTTATGCACAGACGACACTGTAAACAAGAGACTACAGCTAATTCATAATGCGTTGATTGAAATTGGTCATACACAGGGTTTTCTAAAAGAATACATTCATTGAATAAACAGAAAAATACCGTCATCACCGGCTTGGAAGAAATCCCTCTTCCTAAAGCTGCAATTCAACGGAGAGTTAATTGGTGATGTTCTACGGGATAGACTAACTAGAGCAGTGAAAAGAATTTTCAGTGCTGCTAACCTCTGCTTATCGCTCTCGACCCGATCTATGATGATTCCTCAACTAAAGGATAATTTACCTAGTTCTGTTACGTTTGTGTGTATCTATGAATTCAGCTGCTCCTGTGGAGAAAGCTATATTGACCGCACAAGCAGACAACTAAGCCAACGAGTTAATGAACGCCACTCTTAGTGGTTAGTAAAGGGTATCGTCAAAACCATACATAGCTCTGTTCTATTACACTTGATCGATGACAGTCATGTGATAGACAGAAATAGGTCATTTAAAGTAATTTATCGTATTCCTACTAGTTTTCCTTCTTGGCATTCGATCTCCTACAGTTGACCAATTATCATTATAAATCAAGGGAACCGGTTTCATAAAGTACTAGTTAATTCGTCATTCGATACAGTCCAAAACCGAATATTCAACGAAGACTCTCTGTATTATCATTTCACTTTGAACTATGGTCAATTTGCTAATTATTTCTAGTTTAAGCATCATTGAATTTTTATTTTAACACTGATTTGTCTACGAAATAAATCTCTCATGCTCTGATCTGATCTGAATCAGAGACTTCAGTAATGCAGGTTTTGTTAAGCATACATTATACTGCCAAAACGCCTCTTCGAATTACCTATGATTTTTTACCATCGACCAACATCTTTAATAATAACAACTACCATTTGCTTAATCGAAAAAAGAGGGAATCATCTTGAAGACACCAACGCATTACTTGATATTATTTCCCAATATACAAATGTTCAGTGAAAATCAATCTCATATCGTAAACGTGTTCTGATGAAATTATGTCATATACAAGAACGGTTATATGCAATGTGTGTGGGGTAAATGAAAAAAAAAGAGTAATACTTTGGAAATGTGTATTAGGTGGTCTATATTGAATAGTTTTTTTAATGCTATTCAGAACAAGCTTTGTATTTATTTATGAATACACACACGGCTCACTACGCTATTAAGGAGCATGTGATGAATAGTGTTGATCATCGAATAAACTGATTATCAGATACATATGAATCACATCGCTATTGTATGCACCCACTCAGTTTAAAACCTATTCATAATGTAAACAAAGGTAATTTGGAATGGTATAAATAAAGGTGAAACATAATCTATAAGTAAAGATGTCCTCTTTTTGTTTATACGGAATATTGTTCCTTATATGTGCACAAAGTGTTACATCATTTCGAAAAGGTTAGTTATTGTGAATTATTTTACATGTAAATACATTGTGTTTATGTATCATATGTTAATCCATAGATAGTTTTCAAGGCTGGTAAGGTATTGTGGAGCGCATTTATTGAAATTTTCTTCCCGATCATCATTGATAAAATGTACGAAATTATTATTTGAATGTGACACCAATGATTAGGATTTCTAAGCAAGTCTACAGTATTTAAATATTCAGTAAATAAAGAACAATTTGCGTGATTCATTTGGGTGAACTAAAGTGAATAATTATCACTTATTATAAGTGCATTGGCTTCTGAATAATTATCATCCAAAACTACTGTATGTGTTATGTTAAAGTTATGTTACATTAAGGTAGTGTGTGAATTAAGGACTTGTGAGCTATTGTATAAATTACCACCGTAATATACAATTTACAAAGCTGTTGATGATAATGTATCATTACACTAAAAATGAGTGTTATTCTATGTTACTACTCAACTTACATGCAAAAGTCAGTCCATTTGTAATATGAATATTCAACATTAAATGTTTATACTCAATGAGTCTGTGTCACCAAAGGATCAGAAAATGCTTGTGCATAGTCACTAATGCTAATTCGAATTCATAAATCAAGTGTACAGCAAATTTGACAGTTCACCTCGAAGACCTATTCAGATTTGTTAAGGATCCAACTGTACAGGTGATAAATAGTGTAACACTAAAAAACAATCAGACGTTTCACAGAAAGGGTTCGGTCTTAGCTGTCAACGTTAGTGAGCCGGAAACTCTGGATACAAGTTCTTCTCTGGTTGGGACAATCATAGTCTAACAAATAGCTCAGTGATAACTTTACTGATTGTGAAACTGAGTAACAAAGCTCTAAATATTACAAAATACACCAGTTCCATTAAAATCATAGGAATGTCTTCTTGACAGATGACCAGTGGCGTAAAACACTCTTAGTCTTTGATCCTAGCATCCCAACCATCGAATATCAAAATACCGTACACCCAATGACGATGAACTGGGATCGGTGACCGCATTTCGAACTAGCTTCCCGAATTTAATAGGCAATAATCACGAGATATTCGTTATATTTAGTACTACTGGGTGATCGACAACAGTTTTTTTATTGATACCTATTTGATGATTAGCGCCGGTCAGTTTCAAATGAAATCTACACCTAAATTATTGCTGACTTAGCCAAAGTAACAATATATCTTCCTAATAATAAAATACTTATTTTATTTATATTCCAGGAAGTTCGGTCTGCCTTTTAGATTATGATGAGGGCATATGCAGAGCTCTGATAAAACGTTTCTACTACGACAGAGTAAATAAAACGTGTGAAGTATTTTATTATGGTGGGTGTCTTGGAAATAGAAACAACTTTCTAAGCAAACAAGAATGTGAACAGAAGTGTAATGGGACGTAAGTATTTTGTCAAAATGAAGCATTTGATGATTATATCATGGTTTTATGCTATGTCAATACGAATTATGAATATATTTCACCACACAATCATGCTAATTAGATGTTTCAACAGAAAACACTCCAAATATGCGCTATAACAATGCACTTAATTGCTACCTAATATCACATGCATAATAAATCGAAACTACTATTACGATATGGAATTAGGGCATTTTTGTGTTCTTTGTGGTTTTACCAAACCACGTTTTTTGGTGTGTCCTAGTACATGAAATGCATACTTTGATAGATAATTATGACTAGAAGCTGTTCTTAAACTTAGTGGCAGTCACGTGTTTAGTATTTATGATCAGTATGCTTGTGGTTGGTGTCATCTAAAAATGTAAAATAATACAACTCCTCTTGTCCGGGAGATTTCTAGTGTAACTATGATACAGAGTGTGCCACATAAACAGGTCGTGTCTAAAGTTCCCCAAGCCATTATCTTTTGAAGATGAAATCAGACTCTCAGGTTTTTCAGTATTTCAGCAATTCACTCTTTGTACCAGGCAACAACAGAAAACATTATCTTTACACGACGTAGGTTGCTAGAAAGTGACAGGTATCAACATTCTTTAAGCAGTACCACGGATGAGCTTTGCTCAACCAATTAATTTTACCACTTCCCATCATTTATACTATTCACACAACCGACAGCACTCCTGTGGACTCTAATGCTTCCATGCCCACCATCATGGATAACAGCCTGTGTTCATGAATGACTTTTCTGGGTCTGCACGGATTGTACTTCTGATTACATCCCGAGACATTCAATTTTCTAACAGATATCTCAAGTTAGATTTTCCGAATCCAGTTCCATCGGTGTCTACTGTTCACAAAGTCCTTATGCGGGCTGCTTAAGCTCATCGCCAAGATAATATTAACTCTCGAAGCATCTCATCATTTGTTTATGTGAAGAACTGAAAGAAGCTACTTGTTATCTCGCCTGTTTGCATTTACCTTCGTCTTCGATACTCAGTGTACCGATTCCTTTAGAAAACAAGTAGGTATTGTTTGGCTTATGAGTAAAGTGAGAGCGCTCATGATAGAGGCACACACAGTCGTTCCTTTACAACCCCTATGGCGTAGAAGATGAGGTCTACGGCAAGGTTTGTGAATTACAGTTTTATGTACTATACATTCTCCTACTATCCCCATTAATGGTTGTATGATCTCGATGATGCTAATTATGTAGGGCAAAATTATCCGTTTGCTGATTTTTGATGTTAATTTTGTACTGAATGGTTGGTTTGATAAACACTTGATGGTAACTTTTAGTAGCTAATTGCTTTCCTATAATACATCTAGTAGGTATTTACTTTCATTTTGTCATGTATTTATAGTGGTACTGTGTTAGCTTTACTATATTCAGTAGGTTTTATATGCTCTTTATTGATCAGTCATACATTTATTAATGTTGTAAAAGATTACTTGATCATAATGAGTTAACTTACCATGCATGTACATATCAACTTTTCCTGTATTGAACTTGTTATTAGTACATCTAAGAATGACGATTTGTTACTCATCTTATTCATATATGTTTTATTATTAAAGATGATCCATACTGAGTTGTAAGCATCTTTCGACTGGTTCATTTTAATGATAATAAATGTGTGGTATGAGCGCAATACCTAAGTTGTAGATTTAATCACTGGAGAGACTAAATTTTTTCTAGTCAACAGAATAAGCTGCTGATTAATTGAAGAAAGATTTCAACTAACAAATTCTTTTCAAAAATAAGTTTCACAGATGTAACATGTATACCATCCATCATATAGAACAAACACTTCTGAAATCCTTATCATGAGCTATAGAAAGTCCTCAATCAACCTACATATATTCACAGCAAAAACACCTTTCTGTTTTTAAAACCTTAAGTACTAGCATTTTTTTTTAGACGAAAATGAACAATTATTGCGTTCCATTCTTCAGAGTAACACTAATGGATGTTCTTTATTTTTTGTAGGATTTACATAACAGAAAATTCATTCGGTGAGTGTATCGATTTTCAGATATTTATTTAAATGTAGTACATCACATGATAAACTAGAGGAAGACAAAATAGTTTTTTTGTACTTGATACGTTACAGAAGAGAACATTGTTTTCATATGCACTAAGTTCTACTTAAGTTGAAGATATTCAAGCTATTATTGTTCTACAATTTGATATTGAATGTTTTATTTACTATGATATAATTATTGCGTTTCCTCTCAGCAAGCATATGTGACCCTTTACAATTGGATAATTCTTCATCATCTTAACATCAAGGAGTTTTGTACCGATTCTTGGTGACTTGTTTATCATCCATCATACTTCCGTACTTGTTATCTACAAATTATTAATCAACACAGGTATCTTAACGACTGTCTCAAATGACTGTATTTAAAACCAAATTCATACATATTTAATAGTCAGATTTTTGTGATGCATTTTACATGTTACCAGTGTCTATAATCTCTTAATTTGAACATTTCATACACTGATGAGATAGCTGACAGAATTCTACTTAAGGAACTAAATAAACACGAAGTCGATATGTTGCAAATTACAAAACTAGTTACATATACGGTGAGCAGTTACAAGTATCGCTAACAACTGAGCGATGCTGTCACAAAACAATGAATCGTAAATAGAAGTAAAATGTTAGTGTCACACTATCATACATCAATATCATTTATTTCACGACCTATCAATTATTAACTCAGAAGTACACCTGTAAAATAATAATTGGAACTCATATATTTTAAACTGATAGATAAGTTCAATAGTTGAGATCATGAGTCAATTGAAGCTAGATCACCATGGAAAACCTGATAGCACTGGACGGCCAGGTTTCCATGGTGATCTAGCTTCAATTGACTCATAATCTCAACTACTGAAATTACTACAATCTCCACAAAACCCCTTCTGATAGATAAGTGTTAAAACAAGCACTTTATTTCGAAAATAACCAATAGAAACAAAGTATAACATGAGAAACATAATTTTTTACGTAAAACCACATTCGTTACGTAACCTGTGTTCTAATATATTTAAAATAAAGGAAGATATTACATTTCTTTTATATGAGTAGATTTATTTCGTTTGTTAACTGTACTTTCCTGTTTTTCTAACGATTTTGTAGAAACAACTAGACAAACGGAAGCAACATCAACATCGACCGACCAATCAGGTTCATTATATGATTTTTCTAAAGTATTTTATGTTAAAGTATTGTTTCAGGCCATTAGTGTATCATTTTCAGGTTTCTACGAATCTATCTAGTTGCAAGTTTAGTTTATATTTTTGAAATATGTTAATCCAACTGCAAAACTGACACTATTTCCTGTCATATAAATCAGGACATAATATAGGAATAAATTGATGGATAACGTTGTTGGTTGCCAAGTTGAAATATTATTGGGAACCAATAATTTACATGATACCAGTTCCAATAGTCTATATGAATTTCATTCATGTATATCTATCAATATGATCGTCAAGTTTCACCTATTATGGTTGAATAGTTGACACTTCAATATATCTTATGCTCAAATATAAATACAGACGATTCCATTTTTGTTGCAAATGGTATTGTAGAGTTATTTAGTTAGATATTATAAAATGGATAACTAATGTCATTTGGGAATACAATTTCAGTACTTATGGTGCACTAAAAATCACCTTCCCTTCAGGATTCCAAGTTAGGGCTTGCCGCGTGATGCAGTTTGACGATTTGCTTAATGTGTGTCCTATCCATTTCCATTGTCTTTTCCTAATTTCTTCTTCAGCTGGAAGTTGGTTTGTTCTCTCCCACAGAAGGCTATTGCTGATGGTATCCGGCCAATGGATGTTGAGTATCTTGTGTAGACAGCTATTTATAAATACTTGTACTTTCTTGATTGTGGTTGTTGTAGTTCTCCAAGTTTCAGCTCCATACAGTAGAACTGCCTTGACGTTCGTATTGAAGATTCTCACTTTGATATTGGTTGAAAGTTGTTTTGAGTTCCATATGTTCTTCAACTGAAGGAATGCGGCCCTTGCTTTGCCAATCCTTGCCTTTACGTCTGCATCTGATCCTCCTTGTTCATCGATGATGCTTCACAGGTATGTGAAGGATTCTACATCTTCCAGAGTTTCACCATCAAGAGTGATTGGATTGCTGTTCTCCGCTTTGATTTTGAGTACCTTGGTTTTCCCCTTGTGTATGCTGAGGCCTACTGATACAGAGACTGCTGCTACACTGGCTGTCTTTATCTGTATTTGTTCATGTGTATGCGATAGTAGAGCTAGGTCATCTGCGAAGTCCAAATCGTCTAATTGGTTCTGGGCTGTCCGTTGTATTCCGTGTTTCCCTCAGATGTCGAGGTCTTCATAATCCAGTCGACCACCGAGATAAAGAGGAAGGGAGAGAATAGACAGCCTTATCTGACTCCGGTCCTTACTTGGAATGCATCTGTCAGCTGTCATTTAAACGTAACAATAATTGATAAAAATATATTTTCTAATGTGCAGCTAATATTTTTACTAATGTCATGAAAATTGTTCAAATTATTCGACCGAAATCAAAATTCCCTTTCTTACTTACATTTTTGATTATCTATTGATAGAACTAATTGTCTTAGTGTTTATAGATAAGTAACTCAATCCTAATTACAAATGATTGATACATAAATCCAACATACCTAATCGATCCTCAGATGTGATACTATGTAACGTTTGTAAACAACTTAAAACAACTTCAGTTTAATACTATTTACAACAAACAAATGTGATATATATTTTACCATAGCTCAATAATGAACATGAAAGGGTACATCCTTTTCATGAATGTTATCTTGTACAGTAGGTTTTGTAAACTTGTAATTAATAATCTAGTTAATATCAATAATACTTAATTCTATCATTGATTTTTAATCAATTTCAGATAGTACTGAAGCAACAACCCCTACTCAGAAACCACTTGGAGTTGGTGCTAAAATATTCTTAGGTATTCTGGATATAAAAAACAGACTGTCCAATTTATTCAACAAAGTCAAAGGTGGTAAATAACATGAATATCCTCAATATTAACACATTGTATTCTTTTTTTAACATGTACTTAAATCATTCTATATAACAAGAATATTAGATAGATTATAATTTGATATACATGAGATCATCAAAGGAACTGAAACCATTAAATTGTAGTAATTTTCATAATAAACATGTTGAATATCAAATAATCATCCCGAAGTAGTTGAACATCTTCATTGATCAATACAAATTTGGAAGTGAAAACCTTTAGAAAGAGACTAAAATTAGTAATTCATTATTGATTATTTGTAAAAGTCTTAATTGATTAAATGTTTTGATAAAACTTATCTTTTGATTATTCTTTTAGATCTAACATAATCAGTAGTCTCCAGATCTTCATAGAATATTCAAAAAAAATCAAAGAATATTTGAAAGAAAAGTTGTTCTCAATAACCTCATCATTAGGTTCTACAGTTTTAAGTTAATAACTATGACAAAATAAGTCATTCATAAATGAATTTGACAATGTTACATACTATCATTAATGAACGTTTCCATCTGTTACGATATAAACACTTCAAAATACATATTAGTTGAGGTAATAATGATACCAATAATAATAATAATGACGTTGTGTCAGTCATTTAGTCGGTAACATCGTGGAACTTTGTACGTAAGTACATCAGTTCGAGTTGCCATACCACATTAGCAAAAAGATACAAGTGTCAATTCAAATTCCATAGTGGTAGAAGTTGTAAGACTATAAGCAGTAATCAGAAACATTAGGGTTTGAAGATGTTAGTCAAGCAGTATAATCCAATGAAATATATTTAGAAAGAGAAAAAAGGGACATGAAGAATTCAGAAGATTAGAATTTGTGAGAACACAAAGAGTGGATGCACCTGCGCCATTGACACAACTGACGTTGTGTCAATATATTATATAATAATAGAAGTGTTTCCAACGTAATTACGATAGAAAGAAACATTTATGTGAATTGGGAAAGAAGAATGTGCAGATTATGTAAGAAAGGAATTGAGAATTAAATAAGTGGTTTATAATTTCAAGTTTAGGTATATGGCGTTCCAATCTTTGATCAATGTCAATATAGAGGCTGGATATACATCTTCTGGACAAGTAAATTAGGCTTTCTGGAGTTGATTCAGTTAGCGTCAGCTAACTAGAAAAGTAGTAATGTAGCTCCTTTAGGTGAATTGTTTGGAACTTCGTATATAAAACAGAGAAAGCTTCATTTATTTTATTATGGTGCTTACTATTGACTATGTGAGAAAGAATGGTGCTGTTATTCGATCTAATAACTTCTTTTTCCAATCATGTGGGCACATGTTCACGAACATCCAATGATTAAACCATTTGAGTACGTCCTATGTAACTGGCTTCATAGAAACAGATGAATTAATATACTCACATGAAGTAGCCACCATTGGTCACCTACCATTGAATTGCTGTGTAATTGCTGGTTTGGTTGCTAGAAAATGTTGGCTTGAAATTTTGATTATACATATTAGCATAAAGTTGAAGAGCAATTTATATTACGAAATACTATTAGATGCAATAAAAGCCCAGTATTCGGGTTCGTATGATTTTTATACTCAGTAACTACATTCACTTCACGGAGTTTATCAATTATCACTAATCATAACAAGTATCATTTACAACACGATTATTTTTGTATTTTACTGTGATATAAATGTTTTCGTCTCATCTTCAAATCTCCCCGGTTTGTTCAATGAAATCATTAGTTTTAAAATGGTAGTTATTGGTTACATATTTCTAAAAAGTAATATATAGGGTAAATATTCCTCGATTAATCACCTTTCCGTCAAACTATGAACGTAAATAACCTACAAAGTATTGACTCTATTGTTTCGAACGTTGTCATGGATACCGACCACGTATTCTTGAGCACGTTGTATGTGGTAATGTTCTAATCATTTGAAGCTTTGAAGAGCTCCATCATAAATTGTAAAAGGGTGACATACTGCTATTATGCCGTTCTTGACTCTGATTTCCATAAGAATCAGAGGCCTTACATAAAAGTCATTCGCAATGTCATAAAAAGCGTAATTTATTAATTGAGTGAGATTAACCTTAAATTGTAGTTTTAAAAGCTGCGATCTATAATTATAGAACCAATCTTCCGTCTGGTATTCACTCGAAATGTGGACGGGCAAAAAGAAATATTCAGGCATAACAGTCTTTGGTAGGTTCCAAAGTTATCTTATAGTTGTTGCCAGGTGGTTGCCATCAGACTACAAACTCTCCAGCGTCGCTAGTGATAACAATTTACCTATTCAACTCATACAGAGAAGCATTAAAAAACTGCATTCCTTTGTTCGGTATATATCAGAGTAATAATGTAGTACTGTTTATAGTTTCACGCGTAACATGGTGTACAGAAGGATGTCTTAAACTACGTTGGCATCATCCGCAGCACATGACTTTCAGATCGAAGTCTTCAATTGCATGAATAAGTAAATGTCAGTAGACAAACAGTCCCAACTATCGAACAAACGTTGATTTGGATGTCACGCTAAGTCATGAGGAATATGATGCTTCAATACACCCGTAGAAATCCAATGACAGAAACAAAAAAGACTAAGATGATCATGAAAACACACCGTGTGACATAGCATTTTGCTCAGTCAGAATGATTAAGTAGTTGGAACGAAGAGACCAAGCGAAGGCTGTTTTTAGGGCCACGCAAAATTTGATTTCAATCGCTAATTTTAATTAAATCCATAAATTACCGTCGTTTTCATTGCATAAACGTTTTCTGTATTTTCAATGACAGTTTGGCCGTTATTGCATATGATGTTAAGTATCCATGGTCTATTTTTTCTGTTGAATCTCTTTCTTTTCTTATATTATCGATATCCGAATTGACATCGCTCTTATGTATTCAAAAACAATTGGCATGAAAAATTCTGTGACTGCGCGAAACCGATTACACTGTAACAATTACATTTTAAGAATAACAAATCGTAACACTTGTATGACATAGTTAAATGCTTGACGATGTTATCGCAATTTGTCTGTTGGTATTATCTGGACATAATACTCGGCAGATTAATCATATCCGTTTAGCGTAATGTGAAAAATAACAACACAGTCATTTGAAAGTACTCATTTTTTTACGCCTTATGCACGTACAACTATATGCTTTTCACGTATGAAGACATAAAAATACTTTCAGCCGTATAATTACAGAACATTTTTATCAGCGCTCAGGCTAATTTGTATTAGTAATCGTTTTGAAAAGAATGGATCGTATGATTGAGTTATCTTCTCGTCTACTCAGAAGTACATCTAGGAAGGGAAGCTGATCGTTCTTCTCCTCTTCACATGAGAAACTGATATGGTTATGAAGAGTGTTAAATTTATTCAATAAACAGTATATATCCTTATTTTATTCACAAACAACGAAGATATAATCCACATATCTTTAATAAAGTGACATGTTTTCGATTAGGTCATTAGCTTAATATAACACATAGTTCTAATAGTCTTCCTCTTATTACATTCTCGAAATTTATCAAAGGAACTAATTGTTTTGAATACTGATCCATCTTAGTAGTAGTGTGGTGTGTGCTACTTATATTGACATAAATAGTATATGATGTTAGTCGTGAACAGAAGGTCTGACAGCAGAGAGACAAAAGGATCGGTAACAGAATGCAATTTGTATGAAAGTGCAAGAACAATCAAGTCTGAGTCATTTTAAATACATTGGATTGTCCCCACTGGTGTTCTTTTTCACTACAGTAGTAGTAGTAGTAGTAGTAGTAGTAGTACATGTAAAATTCAATGACAGTTAATCTAGAAACTATGGATTTTTAATGATCATATCAAAATTAAACTTTAATACAACCAAAATATTATTTCTAAAGTTAACATCATTCATATTTAACAGTTTAAATGTCCAACAACAACAACAACGACAAAAGAAGTCATTAATATGTGAGACATAAACCTGTTTAGTAACGATTAATACTATCTGTATTATTCATTATCTATCAAAGATAGTTATTATTGTAATGTTTAACTGTTACAGGTCTTATATTCAATTATTCATATATGATTACAATTATGTACATAGAATATGTAAATGTCCCTTGAAATAATGTTTAACATTATAAAACAGATGACTGAAAGAAAAGGAAAAAAAATTGATTCCCGACGTCAATAATAGAAATTCATGAAATACACTACATGTCATCATTATGTTAAATATGTCCACTTTACAATAAACTGTATATGACTTAAAGTAGACAGTAATGATTTAGCCATATTCGAATATGTTTTTTTCTCTTCATATTTCAAATATTATGAATGTTTGAGTTGTCATGTAGAAATAAAGTTGAGAAAAACAAAGAAAATAAACAATTAGGATAGTGATTTTGTCTGATTGTATATTTACAAAACATTTGTTATTGACAGTACATATAAATAAACATAATTATACGCTTCCTAAATACAATAACTGATTTACATTGTTGCATATACAATGATGTTTTCTTATCAATAATTGTATATTGGCCAACTACATAGATTGAATGATTTGTAGTTGAAAACAATTTTTTTATATTAGAACGGATTACTTGTGGATATTATCAGTAATTTCAATGGTTAAGATCATGAGTTAATTGTAGCTAGACCACCATGGAAAACCTGGAAGCATTGGACGGCCGTTTCGTCCTATTGTGGTACTCCTCAGCAGTGCGCTAACACGACCTCGCCTCGCGGGTTCGAACCAAGGAGCTATCAATCTCGCAAATTAGCACTTAACCACTAGACGACTGAGTCGGCATACGACGGTATTAATATCAAACTCCAATCAATCCACAAAATTGACCGACATATCGACTATCCAGTGCTACCAGGCTTTTCATGGTGGTCTAGCTTCAATTGACACATGATCTCAAACATCGAAATAAATTATTCGCTTTCAGCTTCAGTAATTACTATTATAATTAAAAATGTTTCACATTCGACAAATAGTTATCAGTTTTTAT